AACACACATATGGACACACAAACCCACACACACACCGACCTGCAGACACACTTAAAGAATCATGTAAGTAGGATATATAGCAAGAATATATATTTGTACCAGTCGGGCCGCCCAGCTAACGCCGGGCTTCCCTCCTTCTTATGGGTTCGCCCGGCCACGCCGGGCGCTCCCACTTCCTGTGAGAAATTTGCTATGCGTAATAACACATCGGATTCTCCTTTTTCTTTGAAAGCTCTATACTCACAATATTAGCTCCGAACTGGGAGCGATTTTCTCTGTAAGCCAACTTCGCTGTGTCCGAAAAGAACATCGTTTTATATCACAATGGCGATTATTCAGAGAAAAAAATATTCAGAGTCTTCATCGCGGCTGAGGCTACCATGTTAGCTACCATCAATGTTCCTCAATGCTATCATCAAGGGCTCTCCTCCTTTTTGGGACAATGGGACTTGGCCCGAATGACATCGAATTAATGAAATTCTTCCCCCTTTTTTCTAGGTTACTTCGTTGTTTCGCTGAGCGAGAGTATAGACAATCAACTGCCTTCAAAGATGTACCTCCTGTTCTCTATGGATACATCATTAAATGTGAATCCAACATTATTAGCGGTGGGATAAATTCTGCTAAGAATGATATCAAAGCAAAGAGAAACCGTGATCCTTTACTTAATCGTAAACTCTGCGGTAGCGGTCGTAATCTGATAGCAAGAAGTGAACCAAATTCATCTCCTTTTAATCGCACAACTTAACCTTCTTGTCGAATAAAACAAATCAAAAAGTCAAAGCTAGATCGTAAATAACAAAGGCGCTAGGAGGTAATTGGTGTGGATCTTCTTCTCTAAAGCCTCTTCTATTGTCAGTGTTCCCATCCTGCCCCCTTCTGTTGAATGCTCTCCAATTCCATGGGATCAGGAGTAATGGTTTTCCATTCATTTATTTCGCGGAAATCCAGTTCCTTGGAGGCGGAGTCCGGCCCTACCACCCATCATAAGTGTTCCCATAGTGCCGCCTACCTCCTACCAAGTTTGAACGCGCTAGAGCCAAACTGCAAATTTTGGCGCAATCTATGAGCGGGATCCGGTCCTCCCACCTACGATAAATGTTCCCCCTGCCACCTGTACTCCTGCCAAGTTTGAATCTCTAGGACCAAATTTACTACTTCGGCGCAAAACCCCACCCCTTTGCACGGATTCCGGGCCCGCCACCCACCATATGTGTTCCGGTCCTGCCGCCTGTGCTCCTACCAAGTTTGAACGCTCCAGGTCCATGGGGACAGAAGTTATGAATTTCCGATCAGACACACACACCGACACACATACATACATACATACATACATACATACATACATACATACATACATACATACATACATACATACATACAT